GAGTTTGCGGGTCCGAGGCCGGGCCTGAGGTAATAGAGGAGCCTGCCCGCCTGCCTTGGCGCCGCCGGAGGACCAGACACCCGGAGTTCAACTTCTCAACATCCGTTGGGATTGGGAAACAGCACATGGGCGTTCCCGGGATCTCGCACCTGGAAAGTGCAGCCACAAAAGTGATAGCAACCCCGATTAACTGTCCCTGCCCCTTCCTTTCAGGTCTGCAGGTCCTCCGAGGGTCTAAACGCCTGGCCTCTGACGGGCGCACATGCAGCGCTCAATAAATGCTCCTTTGTGAATGAGTACAAGAAATTGGCGGCCAGTAGAGCGTAGACATATGCTGCTCCTCAAATTGGGGGCACCTGAGGCGAGAGTACTTATTGCCCTCTCTGCTCTGACGCGGCAGCATTTGTCTCATTTTACAGGTGATGAATCAGAAGCTAAGAGAGATGAAGTGACCTCCCCAAGGCCGCACAGCCTGTAAGTGACTGAGACGGAATTGCAAACCTGGAGTGTCCGGTTCCAAGTCAGTGCCAAGGGCAGTTAACAGAGAACAACGGGAGGGAAGAGCCTGTCAACAGGTGAGGAAAAAGTGCTGAGAAAAGCCCTTCTGCTCCCTTTTCTTTCCCCGGAGCCGCTACCTCCCCCTGGGGCCCTTTCCAGGAGGCTGAGCAAAGAATTACGGGAAAAAAAAAAAGCTGTTTTCTGAGCTTTATTTTTCTTGGTGGCAAAATAAAACATGCTCATCGACAACATGGGGTGGAACCAAAAGAAGAAAATTAGTTTGCCAAGGACTTTTTTTTTTCTTTCCAGTATAATTTCTTTGGAGGAAAAATGAAGCTGGTTTTGCCCTGCGGTTAAGGGAAAGACAGAGGCTGAAATCCAGCCCAGCTCAGCTGCTAACAGAGTTCTGTGACTTTGAGCAATTGAAAAACAACCCTCCCCACCCCCACCCCCGGGCCTTGACTTACCCGTCGGAGGAGTTCTTAGCCTGGGTTTCCATGGAAACACTAGAGGAAGAGCAGTCCCTCAGCTAGAAAAGTTTTCAGGCCCCTTCTGTCGGATCCTGCAGTCCTTGGTGACACTGCCCCTCCTTCTCACCCCTACCCTGCAGGCTGTTGGAGGTGCCAGCTGTTTGAAACTGAAACACTGCAAAGGGGAAGCAGAGAGTGAGGGCCAGCCCCCTTGGGGGCTGATGGCCGGAGGACTGCTGAATCCCTACTGGGTGCTAAGTTTGCTCTATGTGCTGCTGATGGTCGAGACAGTGTCTGGGGCGAGGAGCCCAGCTACAGGGGCCTACATTAGCCCCCAGTTTCCAGCCTCAGGTGTGAACCTGATCCCCGTGGTAGATGTGAGTATCCTAGCAGGAAACTAGCATCAGGTGGAGGTATATTCATCCAATCAAATATTTATTGAGTGTCTACTATGTATCAGGCACTGAGCTGAACCCTAGGATATGCCTGGGACCATATACTGTAGACAAAAATCTCTGCCCTCCTGGAGTGAACAGTCTCCTGGGAGGTTGGATAAAGACGTTAACATGTAAATTTCAGGCAGTAAGATGTTAAGTGCTTCTCAGATAATAGGATAAAGTGATACAGGACAGTGGGGGCCGTGAGGAAGAGGGAATATTCCCAGCTATTTCAGATTGGGTGATCACAGGTGGCTTCTGTGATGAAGTGAACTTTGAGCCAAGCTCTGGATGGAGAAAGGAAGCCACTTATACAGACATCTGGAGGAAGAGCATTCTGGGCAGAGAGAACAGCAAGTGCAAAGGCCCAGGGGCAGGAAATAAGCCTAATGTGTTTCTGGAGCAGTGAGGAGGCCAGAATGGCTGGAACAGGGTGAGTGAGAGGGAGAGTACAGAATAAGGATGGAGATGTAGTAGTGGTCAGATTACAAAAGGCCTTACCAGCTGAGTCTAGGAGGTGGGGCTTGTTTTATGACAGCGGGGAGCCAATGGAGGGTTTTAAGCAGAGGAATGTCAAAATCTAATTGATTTCTTCAAGGAATGTTTCCAGCTTCTTTGGGGGAGAATGGATAGAGAGGGATGAGGGTAGCAGCAGAGAGACTAGGGCGAGGGCTTCTGCAGCTCCCCAGGTCGGTGATGGTATTTGTGGGAGATAAGAAATGGTGGGATTTGGAGTCAGTGTTGGAGGCACAAGCAGGATACACTGATAGATTGGGTGGAGGAGTGTGGTGGTGGAAGAGAGGAATCAAGGATGGCGCCCGATTTCTGGCCTTAGCTTGGAGGGATGGGAGTGCCATTGAATGCAAAGAGGGAGACGCAATGGGGATACTTGGGGAGGGGCAAGAAATTTTCCTCCCCAGGCAGGGATGGTCTGGGCCATTGAGACAGGATGCAGGGAACTGGCATCATTCCACTCTGATATCTGTAAGGGGAGGAGAGGTCACAGTGGATCCGGAGTCAAAGGCTGAAGGCGGGAGACAGCTCAAGATGACCCCTGGAGTCCCCATCAGCTGCAGGGGGCTGGCGTTCGCACCTTGTATTTTCTTCAGGTGGGAGACAGAGTAACAAACTCCTCCCCACCTAAACCGACAGCTAAGCGTGTTTAGCGCGCCCACACCAACTTTATGGGGCTGCAGATGCCTTCAAGCCGATTGTTTGATGCAGGCAAACAGGTAATTATGTCCGTTTTACAGATGGGAAAGTGATTTTGCGGTTACTGTGGTTATAAAGTTGACTGCTGCCTCTTGGAGGCAGGAAAACTGGGGTTATTTGTGGCTTGTGTCAGACAATCTCTCTGAGTTATTGAGCACTTAGGCCGGCACTGTGCCTCGCGCACCAAACCCTGCCGCAAACCCCCGCGATGAGCATGATTATGTCCATGCTGTAGACGAGGATGCTGAGGTTCAGAGAGGGGAAGGTGGCCCCGAGGGAAGTAGCAGAGGCAGGCTGTGAACTCGGGGCTGCCTCATGCTGAATCCGTACCCTTCGCCTCTAGCTCACCGTCTCCCAGGGCTGACACAGGCAGCTGCCCTCCTAGAAGCCCTGCCGGCCTCTGGCTGCCCATTGTTCTGGGAGCCTGTAGGCTGGGAAAGGCCACCCACTCCTCACCTAGGTCCTTTTGAGGTCATTCAACAAATATTTATTGAGTACTTATTATGTGCCAGGAACTGTGCCATGTGCTGGGAGTACCGCAGGAAGCTGATAAGCTCAGTCCCTGCCCTCATGGAACTTACTTATACTCTAGTCGGAGACACGGAGAAGAAACAAGTCAACAGCTTAATCCACAGGATGATTTCACGCAGTGATGGGAAAAAAGAAAAGCCAGGATGGGGATGTGATGGAGTGAGATGGGGAGGGGCACTGCTTTATCTCAGGCTGTCAGGGAAGGCAAAGATCTGGGGGAACAGTAGGTGCAAAGGCCCTGAAGCAAGAGCAGGATGACATTTCACAAACAAACTCTGAGAAGCCAGAGTGGCTGGAACAGTGAGCTGGGGATGAGATATGACAGGGGAGGAGACAGGAGAGGTAATAGGGGCAGATTGCATGGGGTTGTGGGACCACTGTGCGGACTTTCCCTGTACTCAGGGGTAAGATGGGAGCCATGGCAGGATTTAGTGCACAGGAGGGACAAGATCTGATTTCAGTTTTTACAAGGATCCCACTGGCTGCTGTGGGAGAATCAACTATAGGGGCAGAGACAGGGAGCAGACTGGCAAAGTCATCCAGGTGAGATAGTGGTAGCGGCTTTGGGAAGGGGTCCAAGTTAAGATTTTGGGGGAAGTAGTAAGAACTGGTTCTGCTGGACCACTCAGTGCCCAGTACCCTCAGCCCAGGCTGGTCCAAGTGTGGCCTCAGAGGGCCAGGGACAAGTCTGACATCAGACCACCAGGGCCCAGTGTTTCCAGGACATTCCTTTTGGGAAAAAGGAGAGTCTGGGGAAAAACTCTCCTCTTAGAACAGATCTGACAGAGGCTGGACATTTAGGACTGACCCTTGGGAGACTGAAGGAGCCAAAATAAGTGCAGGGAGCACTTTCTCTTTAGTCTCTGTTTTCACCCCTGGAAAAAGGAGTAATCAAAGCTCATTTTACTGAGCAGTGACTATGTACCAGGCGCATGGATTCTGAGCACATGGATTAATTCATTTAATCCTTCATTTCAAGGGTTGGCAAACTTCAGCCCACAGCTCAAGTTGGGTCCATTGCTGGGTTTTATATAGCCTGGGAGCTGAGAATGGTTTTTGTATTTTCAACTGGTTGAAAAAATCTTTTTTAGAAGAATGCTATTTCCTGACACATGAATACTATGTGAAATTCAAACTTTAGCATCCCTATGTACAGTTTGATCAGAATTCAATCATATCTGTTTATTAATTATTGTGGATGGTGCTTTTGCAAGACAGAGTCAAATGATTTCCATAGGGACCATCTGGCCTGCAGAGGGCAAAATATTTGGTCTTTTACAAATTTTGCTGACTATAAAATGAAGCAGGAACTAGGGCACAGAGGGGTGAAGTGAGTTGTCCAAAGTCACACAGCGATGAGTGGGGAAGCAGGATTTGAACCCAGGCCACGTGGTTCCAGAGCCCTGTCCTCATAACCACGGCACCATCCAGCAATGAGCAGATGGCACAAGGCTGAGGCACCTCTGGGAAATGCCAGTCTTCATTTTCTGCTCCTGGGTTGGTGTCCTGGTGGAAGACCTGGGATTTTCCACTCCTGGGAAAACTTGCTCTGTGGGGGTCCCGCTGCAGGACTGGGAGTGTAGGAGGTGGTGGAGGTGCAGCTCGGGGTCACATCTACAGCGCCTCTTTTTCAGGCTGATGGAATGAGGTTAAGAACATGAGAAGTATTTGAAAGCATTATAATGTCTCTATTTAAACTGACTCTAGAGTGTATCAGTTTCCTATTGCTGTTGTAACAAATGACCGCAAAGGACTTAGTGGCTTAAAACAACCTACATATGAGGGTGGGAGGGGATAAATTTGGGAGTTTGAGATTTACAAAAATTAGCCACTATATATAAGAATATATTTTAAAAAAACAACCCATGCATTTGTTATCTTAAAGTTCTGAAGGTCAGAAACCCAAAATGGGTTTCACTGGACTAAATTCAAAATGTTAGTGGGACAGTGTTCCTTCTAGAGGCACTAGGGAAGACCCATTTCTTTGCCTTTTCCAGTTTCTAGAAGTTTCCTGCGTTCCTTGGCTTGTGGCCCCCTTCCTCCATCTTCAAAGCTACCAGCACAGCATCTTTCTCTCTCAGTCTAACCTCTGCTTCCATCTCATTTATTTTCGTGACTGACCCTCCCACCTCCCTCTTATAAAGACCCTTGTGATTATGTTTAAGGGCCTACAAGTAATTCAGGACAATCCCTGCATCTCAAGATCCCGAATCTAATCACCTCTGCAAAGTCCCTTTTGCCGTGTAAGGTCACACATTCACAGGCTGCGGGGAGTAGGACATCTTTGGGGACCACTGTTCAGCCAGGGAGGATGAACCAGGAGCTTGTGACTCTCCATTGTCCCTCCCAGCCCCCTCACCCTGTAAGCCGCCCCCGTCCTGCCTGTGCACCTGCACAAGGAGGTGCCTTTGGACTCGAATAACGACGCTTGGAGAGGACATCTGGATCATGAAAACCTGAGCTTTTCTTGATGGATCACAACTGACAAAATGGAAATGATTTCCAGTTGTTCCCTTGATATCGTGGTTGGCTTCTTATTTGGCTTCTGAATGGAGCCAGCGTGGATGTTGATGGTCTGCATTCTGATCTTTGGTAATAAAGGGAGTATGGAGGGGCGCTTAACAAAGCATGTGTGGCACCAAGATGCCAGTGGCCAGAGTGGGTTTGATGAAGACCACTCTGTAGGGGAGGAAAGTAAGGCCCAGACCCCTGAGGGGCATGCTGAAGGTCACCCAGCCGAAAGTCACCCAGCCGGCCCCGGCTGGGTCTCAGCACCAGGGCTGCTCTTCCTCTCTGCTGCCCCTGTCTTCCACACCAGGCTTACTGGTGTAGGATTGAAAACTGACGGCCCAGGGTATTGTCTAGCTGCAGTGGTTTTGTCTGTGGTGTTTTATTTGCAGCATGGGGAGAGGTTGTCTTTCATTTTACAACTTGAATGCCTTTCAGCAGACACGCGCCCTCCAGC